TAGCTATCACTGCCTCAAAACTGATTTTCCTCTGTTGCATACTACATTACTTCCATCCCAACTGAGTCTGCAGCGCTTGCACTCGAATTTTTTAAGGTTGGATTGCTATATATGGTAACAGTAGCCACCTGTGTATGGGTGGCTTAATTAAAACTTTGCTGAATTGAATTTGATTAAAAACCGACCCTGGGGTTTTCAGTGAGATGCCATACTTAGACAACGTAGTGCCTTACACATTATAAGCGCTTGGTAAATTTTAGTTGTGATAATCGTTAGAATCTCTTCAAGAAGTGACTTCTCACAAGTGAGGGGCATAGGAGAGCTTCCCAGGCAGAGGGGATCAGACATACTAAAGTCCTGATGGCCCAAAAAGTCTGTGGCCCTCCAGGGTCCCAAACAGGCTAGTAAGGAGAAGTCAAGTCTGGTACTGGGTGTGGGATGCACTGGTGAGCCAGGCTCCTTCACTTTGAGAAGTTTGGGCTTCACAGTGAGAGTAACTGGAAGCCATAAGGGTCTCATACAGAGCAATCAGATTTGCATTGTTAAAAACTATCCCAGGTGTCTCATGGACAGTGGATACAGGGAGATTTATTATAAGGTTTGGCCATAGAGTAAATAACTAGCCTTGGGCAGCCTGCTTAAACTGTCTTGATTTCTTCCTCTTTAACCCAAATTCAGTAATAGTACCTACCCACAGGCTATGAGGATTAACTGAGTTGCTATGTGTAATCAGTTTAGAACAGCCCCTGGTATGTAGTAAGTGCTTTAAGTGTTTGTTAAATAGAATGCAAAAGTCTGGTTTCTGAGCAGTAGGTTGCATTATTCTGACACTACCCTTCCCCTCACCTAGCATCAGACTGACCTGCTCCATGAAACCCAGACTGCTGCCAACTTGGAGCCCACCTAGTTTCTAAACCAAGTCCTCCTTCCTCTACCTGGGTCTGACTTGGACACCTCCACGTGGATTTGACATATGGCTGACCAGACCTGGCTGGGCTTTCCCTTTTCCCAGAACACCTGCCCTGTACCCCACTGGGAATTCAGGCCTCATCCTGGCTTGCTAAGAGCACCAAGTGTTCTTGCTGTGCAGTCCCCACTGTCTTCCTTCAAAAGTTCAGTGGAGCCCAGCGGTAACGGCCATTGCCCCTCCACAGATGGCACCCTGGCTTGTACGTAAGCTCCCTGACTCTGCCTACCCAGCCACGGCTGCTCGCTCTCTCTCCCAGATTGCACTTGGTGTTGGAAAAGAACACCACCAACGTGGAGATGAACTCATTTGGGGTTATGGTCACCTCCTTGTTTCCTGTCTGTATTTGGGGCAGATTTGAACTGAAAGAGGGAAAAAGCAATAGTAAGCAAGAGGCCCCTCCTGCTATTTTAGGCAGGGTTCACTTTAACTCTGTAAAGCTCCTGTTTTCCACCTTTCCAGTAGATTCATTATTCTGTAAATCATGTAGTACATATTGCCGGTTTTTGTTGTTGTTTTTACTAATCATGAATGTCTTCTACTGAGTAGTAATGTTTTAAAGCTACTTTGTTAACTTACAATTCTAATTTGAAAACACTAGATAGGATGTCATGTACAAGTGGCAGGTTTCCACCTACATGACTTAGGAGTGTTGCCTGGATTCTCCTTTAAGGATACGGAGGGTGTTCTGAGCTCACAGGGCAAAAGTACATGATCGGCACAAAAGGATGCCTCTCACATTCAGAGTAGAGCTTCCCCCAGGGGTAGGGACTGCTGTTGAATCATGGTGGGGAAGGGCAGAGGGCATACAAGGCTGCTTCTGTATTTCTAATGTTTTACTGATTAAGTTTGAAGGTTTGTGAAATTTGACATAATATCTTGTATCTTTTTGGATGTGTCAATATGATGAAATTGAAGTGAGCACCGTGATAGTGATAACCACCCAGCGTGTCACTGATATGTGTGCCAAATGTTTGTCCCGGGTATGTGGAGCCTGCCTGCCCATCACTGAGGCACCCTTAGCCTCTACCCCAGATAAGACTGTCATCTCCAAGTATTTGTGTATGAAGTTATATACGTATATTTATATGCACAGATGCAAATTCACTTTATCTCATAATGTGTTATCACAAAATGCAGTATGGAACTTTTTAAAAAATCAAATATTTCCAAATAAAACTTTTTCAAAAAATATTTTTTTCCTGGTATTAAAAGAATTACATACATTTATGGGAGGTTAGGAAACATACTAAAGTAGAAAGAAGAAGAAGGGGAAAATATATATATATAATGTTAATATAAATGTTAGCAGTCTCTAGGGCAGCACTATTATGGGTCTCTAGCACCACCCTAGAGACTGCTAACATTTGGTGATAGCTGTGATCTATCCCCCAAAATTCATGTGTTGAAACTTAATCACCAATGTGGTAGTATTAAGAGGGGCTTTGGGAGGTGATTAAGTCATGAGAGTAGAGTTCTCATGAATGGGATTGGTGATTTTATAAGAGGTGGAAGAGAGTGTCCTGGGCCCTTTTTGCCCCTCTGTTCCTTTCACCATGTAAAGACACAGCATTCATAGTGCCCATCCCTTTTAGAGGGCACAGCCACAGGACATCACCCTGGAAGCCTTCACCAAACACTGAACCTGCCAGCTCCTTGGTCGTGGACTTCCTGGCCTCCAGAACTGAGACATAAAGTTGTGCTCTTTATAAATGTCCCAGTCTGAGGTATTTTGCTATAGTAGCACAAACGGACTAAGACAGTGATATTTTCTTCCATTGTTTTTCCATTCCCATGTATGGATTATTTTTATATTGATAAGATCATTCTGAATATAACATTTTACATCTTTCTTCATTTAATAGTATAAGATAACCATTCAAAATACTATTAAGATTATTCGTAAACTTTTTTTTTCCTTGGATATAGGGTCTCACTCCAACTCCCAGGCTGGAGTGCAGTGGCGTGATCATGGTTCACTGCAGCCTCAATTTCCAGGGCTCAGGCGATCCTCCTGCCTCAGGCTCCTGAGTAGCTGGGATGTCAGGTGTGCACCACCATGCCCAGCTACTTTTTGGGTTTTTTGTACAAAAACACAAAACATGGATACAACACAAAATACAAAACTGTTGTCCCAGGTGGGGTTTCTTCATGTTGCCCAGGCTGGTCTTGAAGTGATCTGCCCGACTCAGCCTTCCAGAGTGCTGTGATTATAGGAGTGAGCCACCATGCATGGCCCCTTTATAAACATTTTAATAGCTTCCAGTGAGCCACTATATAAGAATATTATAAATTAATCATTCCCTGCTATTAGACAATTTTCACTGTATGAGAAATAGCAACTGCATCTTTGAGCATAGCTTCTGTCATCATATTTGCATTTGTTTCCTTAAATGTATGCCAGCTATATTAAGGGTTCTGAATATTTTGAAGACATTTAATACATTTTTTTTCAAGTTGCTTTCTATAAGGCAGGGCCTTTGTTAGTCCGTAATCTGTGTGTGTTCAGGTAACAGACCTCTAGGCAGACACACACCTGGAAGTCTGAGCTTCACGATGAGTTCCAGGCTGTGTTACATCTGCTCACACTTCATGGACGCGCTGGTGCCATTCACAACTGCACCCTGGATGGAAGATCCTTTGTCTTTGTCTTTTTTTTTTTTTTTTTTTTTTTTTGAGATGGAGTCTTAATCTGTCACCCAGGCTGGAGTGCACTGCAACCTCTACCTTCTGGGTTCAAGCGATTCTTCTGCCTCAGCCTCCCAAGTAGCTGGACTACCGGTTCATGCCACCACGCCTGGCTAATTTTTTTGTATTTTTAGTGGGGACAGGATTTCACCTTATTGGCCAAGCTGGTCTTGAGCTCCTGAGCTCGTGATCTGCCTGCCTTGGCCTCCCCAAGTGTTGGGATTACAGGTGTGAGCTACCACGCCCAGCCGGAAGACCCTATTTCTGTTCCTCCAGGAGCGCACATAGAGTACCTCTTTCATAGAACCCCATACAGCATTAGCTATTCATGTTTGTAACAACTTGAATTCATTAAGTGAAAGTGGCATATAGGTGTTTTACCTTACCCTTTTTGATTATGGAGGACAAACATTCATTTATGTGCTTCTTAGTCATTTGTATTTTCTCTTATGAATTATCTATTCATATTTATGGTTATGCTCTTAGTGTTTGTCATATATTTTGTCCATTAACTTGATAACATAGAATCTGTACTATTTGTTGTTAACATTCTTTCTAGTTTGTGATCATATTGTTTTTCTGGTAAACACAAGGTTTTATTTTTATTGAGCACAGCCAAACCTCTTCCCTGCTGATTTGCTCCCAGGATGTTCAGTTCTCAGAGTTCTTTCTCATTCAGACACTTGAAAAGTGTTCATGTTTTCTTCTTGTGTGCTATTTCGTTTTTAAATTTGTCTCTTTAATTTACATTAAACTGGATTATATTTAGATAAATAATGCCCGCTGAGAATCTTTTTTTTTTCTTTTTGTACGAATAGTTTTTGAGGCACCATTTATTGCATAATCTGTCCTTTCTCTACTGATTTGTGATGTGTTCTCTATCTTTTATTAAATTCTCATATCTTGATCCTTTTTTAGTTCATGAGCATGATGATTAGGTGTTTCACATGCCTGTGTGAGATGCACCACCCTCGAACCTTGTATGACATCGGCACTTTAACCATTTGACCTTTAAAAAAAATTATCATATAATCTCTGTTAAACATATTTTACTGAGTTTAAAACAATAAAATTTCATTCTTAATATAGGTAAAGCACTGCTTATTCGTTATATATATTTTTGTTTCAGTGTTAAAGGTTGTTTAAATTGAATTCTTTTTAATGTACTAACTTTAATGTTAACATTTCTCTTCTATACTTTGAATCAAGTAAATTGGGTACTTCGACAAACATTGTTTTGTTTCATAGAGACCACCCCATTTACAAATAAATCATAGGCATTGTACATAAAAGGCACTTGTATTCACTTTTAAGGAACTTAACTTTTTCTATTTATGTTTTTTAGGGTTTATTATCTCATATACTTTCAGCACTCAGATTTGATAAAGAAGTTGCTCTTTTCACTCAAGGTCTTGGATATGCACCTATAGATTACTATGCTGGTTTGCTTAAAAATGTGAGTATTTAAAATTTATCACTTTTGAAATGTTCAATGTTGAATATATCATCAGCAAAAAGAGTAAATGGAAATATTTTGGTCCTCCAGAAGAGATGTTTAACTTTTCTTTGTTTATCTCTTTTTACCTTGGGCAGACTTATGGCCATGTAAGGAAGAAATGTGAGATGGGAAGTTATGAGAAAGAAGGAAACCAGGAAGGGTTTTACTAAACAAACCAATCAACCTCTCTTTCTAGTCCTACATCTCACTTATTCACGCTGATGTTTGGGAGAAAAGCTTTTCTTAGCTATTATAAACACAGTCTTGTGCCTTTAGACAAATCTTATATTTAAAATAACCTGATTGGAATTTTCTGTTAAAGGAAAGCAGAAAATTCAATATATAGTATTACATATTTACCTCTTAGTGTTAAAGCTTTGTTTTCTTCTGGCCTAAATTGTAGCCAAATGTAAGAAATTGTAACTTACAATCTTGATGTAACTCTTGTAAAAAATGTTAGGAGATTTTTAATGTTTGTTAACTGTTCTGGGATTTCAGAAGCTTTATACAAGAGAAGCATTTTTTTAAAAAAATCAACTAGATTTTGAATGAAGAAATAAACCAACATTTTATTTAAATGGATTTGGTTTTAATTCTTAGGAAATTAATGATCTGCCTATTGTTCATTGTCCAAATAGGAATTCAGAATTATAGATATTAAACATAAAATCCCAGTTATTAGTAAATGTGACATGGCACTGCTTCCTTTTCACTCTGACAAAGTAAAACATGAGGAGAAGATGGGGGTTGGGGGAATCTCAACGGAAATATCACTCACACCAAGAAAAATAGAACTGAGGTAATCCTGTTTGCAGCATGAGTTAACCTGCAACTGATTTTGTTTTACAGATGGTTTTATCATTAGCATCTGAACTCAGAGAGAATCATCTTAATGGATTTAACACTCAAAGGCGGTAGGTGTTAAACTAAACATCCTTCTTCTCAAATTTCAAAATGTATCAATTTGGTTATGAGAGGAAAATTTTATAATTCATAGGAAATGCATGTTCAGTTATGGTTGTATTCTATGTAGAAAGATTATTTTATTTTAGTGGAATACATAGCAAATTGGTAAGTGTTTTCAAACTCTTTTTTAAATCACTATTTTCTTAACTTTCACAGAGCAGTAAGTAAATCATGCAACATCTTTTGTGGGCCCATTAAGTAAAAAGCCCTATATATACAGTAGGGAACACAAAAGAAAGAGCAGCACTTAGTTTTATCCTGGGGTTGCTCACTCTGCAGGAGGGGAATGTACACAGATGCAAGCGTGTGCTCTCTTACTAGCCTGCTGTGGCTCTGCCTCCTCCTGCTTCCAGCACAGACACACACACACACAGTCAGGATATTTACAAGGCAACATTTTATGTGAACATATACCCTATTTTAAGAAACATCATATTCCAAAATCTAGACTAAACAAAGAGATTCAGACAAATTAAAAGGCAATTAATTACATTACAAATGTTTCTTCGCTCTGTGAAAGAAATCAGTTTTTATTGGTGAGCATTTCATTTTTAACATGTCATTAATCAAGAGAATCTGAGACTGAGGGATTGGTGATTTTTTTTTTTTTTGTAAAGCTGTTGCTAATTCCAGCTCTATCAGAAATTCTTTGTCCTCAACCTTTAGAAATCCTTGGCTCCTAACCCTTAAACTATGCAATTATTAGAGGAAAACATTGGAGAAGTCTTTATTATGTTGGATTGGCAATGTAAGAAGAAGAATATATAGGAGACATGGAAAGTGTTTAGATTTATTTATTTACATGTCAGGTAAAGACGCCTTTAGTTGTGAGGTGAATGAGGTGAATGTTGACTGATGGCTCTTTAGATTTATGTAATTATAAATTTATTTAAAAGGACTTTAAAAATCAGCCAGTGCAATGTGTATATACTCCCTACACCAAAATCCCAAAAGGTACATCACAGTTGATGATTTTTTAATAAGCAGCTGACAATAAGTTTTTAAATTTATTAACAAATAGAAACAAAGGATCAGAATGCAAAATATAGAAATGACTTACAAAAATCAGTCATAAAGAGGCAAATACTCCAGTATGGAAAAGAGCAAGGAATATAAGCAGGTCGTTACCAAAAGATGAAAACTGAATTGATAATAACATTAAAGGAGTTCTTGAGGAGTGACATCAGCAAGATGGCAGAATAGGAAGTCCTAGACTTTATTTCCCAATAGAGACGTTGACTTAACTACAACATACATCCCCCAAAAGTTTAATGAGAACTACAGAACCAATTAAGAAGTCACAATACTGCAGGCAAGCTCAAAGTCTAGAATAGCCACATTGAAATTGGTTAAAATGTCTATTTTGTGTCAACTGTGATAGCCCTTTTCTAAGGCTGACACAGCTTAGTGAGATTGGTAGGAAAAACTCAGCTTGTAGCTTCTCTCCCTTGGGAGGGAAAAAGAAGAGTGGAATGTGCATCCAACATTTTCACTTTTTAGGGAGCAGACGAGGAATTTATTTCTCTCTCTACTGACTAAGAGCACTAATGAGGAAATGGCATACAGTAATCCCTCTTTATCTGCAGGGGATATGTTTCAAGACACCCAGTGGATGTCTGAAACTGTGGGTAGTACCAAACCTGATTGCCATCAATCATATTTCTGTATTCCACTCACAAATTCAGTGTCTTTTCCATCCTAAGCACTTATCATGCATGATGGCTATAATTTTTGCCATGTGAGATGCAATGATAAAACTAACAAATTTTTTTCCTTCTTTACAATTTCACAGATAGACGATTTGTTTTTACGATAGATCTCAGCAACCTCAGCATGTGATTTTTTTCTTTCCTTATTAAGTTGAGAACTTTCACCTCTTCACTTAAAGGAAGCACTTTACAATTTCTCTATGGCATATCCGAATTGCCAGCCCCAGTGCTCTTGGACTTTGAGGTCATTATTAAGCATTAATAAAATAAGGGTTACTTGAACACAAGCACAGTGATACTGTGACAGTTGATCTGACAACCAATATGGCTACTAAGCAGGTAGTGTATATCATGGATACCCTGGGCAAAGGGATGATTCATGTTCCAGGTGGGACATAGTGGGACAGCATGAGATTTCATCATGCTACTCAGAACAGTGCACAATTTAGGCCAGGTATGGTGGCGCGTGCCTTTAATCCCAGCATTTTGGGAGACTGAAGCAGATGGATCACCTGATATCGGGAATTCAAGACCAACCTGGCCAACATGACAAAACCCCGTCTCTGCTAAAAATGCAAATTAGCTGGGCATGGTGGCTCATGTCTGTAGTCTCAGCTACTCAGGAGGCTAACGCAGGAGAATCACATGAACCTAGGAGTTGGAGGTTGCAGTGAGCTGAGATTGCACCACTGCACTATAGCCAGGGCAACAAGGGCAAGGTGTTATCTCAAAACAAACAAACAAACAAAAAAACGCACAATTTGAAAGAATTATTTCTGGAATTTTTTCATTTGATATTTTTGTACCACGGGTGACCATGGCTAGCTCAAACTACAAAAAGTAAAACTGCGGATAAAAGAAGACTACTTTTGATGCCTTGGGGCCATGGAGAACAAAAGAAAGCTTAGTGGTTTGTGGTAGCACCAGAGAATTGACAGTGCTGCGGATGGAGGCTGGTGTAGCTCAGCATAATTGGGAGAAAGTGCCTGGCTCATGACTTGTTGTTTGGGAGGGGAAGAGAAGAATGGAATATATATCCCGTATTCTGGCTTTTCAGGGGCCTACCAGAGGGACTGGTGTCAGTCTTGCCTGACCCACAGCGCTGACGGAGATGGCCTCATACTTCCGAACAAGATAGCTCAGCAGCTTGTTGCAGCACTGGAGAATCTGTAATACCACAGACAGACACTAGAGGGAGGAAGAGATTGGGAGCTCTTGAGAAAGAAACCGGTAAAGCCCTCTAATTTGGAAATCACAAGCCCTCTAATTTGGAAATCACATGCATAAGCTCAGAGAAGACATATCCTTGGAAAAGATTCGAGGGACCTCCAGAATCTCTAGTTGAGAGTCCATTTGTGAAAGTCTTCCCTGTACCATGTCTGTCCATAAAGACTGAGATAAGTGGATGTGTCTTTAAATGTACAAAATACAACGAAAACAACAAGATACAAAGTAAACCAGGGAAACATGGCATAATCAAAGGATCAGAATAAATCTACAGAAGCAGACCCTAAAGAAACAGAAATGTACGCATTACCTGACAAAGAATTTGAAATAATTGTCTTAAGGGATCTCAAGGCACTGCAAGAGAACACAGATAATTAAATGAAATCAGGAAAACAATACATGAACGAAATGAGAATATCAACAAAGATATAGAATAAATGAGAAGCAAGCAGATATTCTGGAGCTAAAAAACCACAATAACTGGAATGAAAAACTTACTCGAGTGGTTCAGCAGTAGATTTGATCAAACAGAATAAAGAGTCAGAAAACTTGTACACAAATCATTTGAAATTATTAAGTTAGAAAAAAAAAAGAATAAAGGAAAGTAAAGAAAGCCTAAGACACTTGTGGAACAACATCATGTGGAACGGTATACACATTATGGTAGTTCTAGAATAAGAGATAAAGGGGCAAAGAACTTATTTGAAGAAATAATGATAAAAACTTCCCAAATATTTGGAAGGAATTTGATATCCTAATTTAAGAAGCTCAAAGGACTCCAAAGAATGAACCCAAAGAGGCCCACACCAACATAAACAAAAATTCGAATTGTCAGAATTTAAAGACAGAATCTTGAAAGCAGCAAGAAAAAAAGTGGCTTGTCATATAGAAGGAAGGTTCCAGAAGATTGTCAGTGGATTTCTCAGCATAATTACAGGCCAGAAGGGAGTGGGATGATACATTCAAAGAGCCAGAGAGGAAACAAAACAAAACAAAAACCGCTTCCAACTAACAATACTTTATCTGGGCTAAATCATTCTTCAAAAATGAAGAAGTAAAGATACTCCCAGATGAACAAAAGCTGAAGAAGTTCATCACCACTAGACTTGCCTTACAAGAATTGCTAAAGGGAATCCTTCAAGCTGAAATGAAAGGATATTAAACAGCAACATGAAAGCATACAAAAATGTAAAGCCTTCTGGTAAATGTAAATATACAGACGAATTAAAAATCTTATAATACTGTGTCATATAGTACAGTTGTACCTCAGTATCCACAGAGGATTGATTCCAGGACTCCCCACACATACCAAAATCTACAGATGCTCCAGTTCCACACCAAACAAATGGTCAATCTTTGGGTTCTACATCCTGCAAATACTATATTTTTGATCCATGATTAGTTGAACCCATGGATACAGAACACATAGATATAGAGGGCTGACTGTATATAAATCATTTTTAATTCTCGTATAGAACTTAAAAGATAAAAGCATAAATAAAATTAAACTATGGTGATAGATACAAAATAGAAAAGGATGTAATTTGTGACATTGATAACATAAACTGGGGAGGGAGATGTAAATGAGTAGAGTTTTAGTATGTGATTGAAGTTACCTTGTTAGGTTGTTATAACTCTAAGATGTTTAATGTAATCCCCATGGTAATAACAAAGAAAATACCTGTAGGAGATGCACAACAGAAAATGAGAAGGAAATCAAAGCATGTCACTATGAAAAAGATCAATGAAACACAAAGGAAGGGAATAAGAGAGAAAATCATGAACTGAATGACTACAAGGTATATAGAAAACAACAAAATGTCAATAGTAAGTCCTTCTCTATCAGTAATTAGGTGAACATGAAGTAAACACCCCATTCAAATGATGTGAAGTAGCAAACTAGATCAGAAAACAAGATCCAACTATATCCTAGCTATATTCTGTCACTTGAGATACAAGGATATACATAGACTGAAAATGAAAAGATGGAAAAATATATATCATGTAAATGG